GCAGTTACACGCGCGGCTACCAGTGTACGTGCGCGTACGTGCCGCCTCTCTCTTCCTCCGGGATGCCTCTCGCTCCGACACCCGGTTACCCTGTGTCCGCCTCGATCGTGCCTCTCTGTCTGGGCCAGGGTCTCGACGCGAGTTTCGCGCGGTCGGGGGAACAGTTTTCGCCGGAGACGCGATACTCTCGTGGCTAGCTGACATCGGGGTAGCCGCGCTTTTTTTTCGACGCATCCTCCCCTCTACTCTCGATACACATTTTTTTTCCAAAGATTCGACCGCTATCGAGGCGGACGGTCGTCTTTGGGACGACCGATTAACTCGACTAGCCGGGCGTTTAAATTACCGGGGTAATTTCTACGCGTGTTGAGGCCGGTTGGAGCGGCGCCAGCCTTTTGTTGACGATCGGTGTCACATTTGTTATGCTCGCGTTATGGACCGCGAGGGAGGAGGGTCTAAGGGACCGTCATTAGGGTCCTTCCTTTTCTGGGCCCTCAATGGGACGGTGTGTTTTCGTGGTCGTCGACTTTTGTGACAGTTGAGCTCTTCGGATATTTTGGATGTCGATTTCGACGCTGGGTATTGATTAGTAATTTTTTAACGGTACTCGAATCGTTTCCTTTATTATAAAATCTTTGTTATTTTAGATTCTGTATCTAAGAATCACTAACCCAAATTCATTCGCCTTTTCAATTAAACGATTCAATTAAGCTTTACTTACAGAGTTCCTAAGCTTTATTTAAATGGTTCTATTAAGTTTTATCTGAATGGTATATTAAGTTTTATTCAAATAGTTCCATTAAGCTTTATTTCAATAGTTCCGAATGATAGAACGTCCCGTTTAAAAGTAGTCATTTGACATATCGATATTACAAGAATAGGATTCGATGTTCTCATTTTCTAAGTCACTTTTCAATTATAATGTTCGATAGGAAATTAGTGATAATTCTGTTTAATCTCTCTATTATTTATCTTCATAATTTTTTACAACTGTTCAAATGAAAATAGGTGTATTCTCTCTATTTCACCGTTAATTACGTTCCCTATTAGTTCAAGTATATTACCGTACACATTCATACATTTTTTATGCAATTAGTGTCTTTAGAGATACATATGTACCTTACAAATTATTTTATTGAAATCTGTTCATTATTCTTAACTAATACTTTAATGGGACATTAATATGTGAAATAATAAATAATTCACTTTTAATTTCAAGGTTCTAAGCTTTCGTATTCATCTCGATTCGAAATTATTAGAAGCAATTAACAAATGAGTTAATATAAGAACTATTGAGAGAGTTATCGGATTAAATGTAATTTTCATTAATAATCTTTATGCTAAATATTCAATACCCACTTGAGAAGACAAATTATCAAAAGATTTAGGAACACCAACATCTGCAAAAATTTGTACAGATCATCTTCAAACGATCACATTCGATAATAAAATTTACCTTTAAAATTTTAATTGCTCCCAAATTGAAAAGGTTACCCAAGAAAGGTTAACTTTAAATTGACCTCTTAATCGTCTTAAAAATTTTAATTAATAACGATTCAAATATCATGACGATGTTTTACGTATGTCAGGAGATTATCATAATCGAGAGGCGTAGAAAAATAAGCTAAACGAAGACGAGCCTAGAATGTCCGCCTCTAATTCGACTTGTAAAACGAAATCGATCCGAGGCAGCTTGGAGGATCGCCACGAACAATGATCGCGTCGATCCGTTCGTCATTCCCGACACCATGGATCCTCGATCACCGATCCGTTCCTCCCGTAAACTTCCCGTAAACACGTACAGCGTGTAGTCGCAGAGAAAGTGGAGTAGACGAGTGTACGCAAGGAGGTACCTGCTCTCTCACATTAATTATTCCGTGACTAAACCCTTCATCCATGGTGGGATCGATAGCCTCGACGCGGATCTTTCCACGGGATTACTCGCCCAAGGATCTCGATCGAGATATCCAATCAAGTCTAACCTTATCCTGGATTTCAATTTTCGTCCCGCGAAATATCGCCAACAAATACGTGCCTCTACTTCGGATGAAATTAAAGGATATAACTTTACAGGTTACCGAAGACTAAGTTCACTTGCTTAGGTATTAAAATTTATTGTCTAAACTTTACAGTTTAAGGATTACTTTATTGTTTAAAGACGAAAGTTGTAGAATTTGCTGTAATGTTTGATAAGATGTAGGATTTTAATTTTACGTTGACGTGATCTTTCGGAGCATCGTTTCCCAGGCTTCGGATCTGAAGTGACTTTTAACTAACCGGAGAAATTATCTGTTGCTGGTCCTGCAGGCTCAGGGGTCCTGGACAGTGTCCCTGGACCTGTCGACCGTATCTCGGGCAATCTGTGGTTGGGGTGCGCCGCGACGTCGTGCGTCGACTGTGAACCGCGTTTCCGTTTGCCTTTTCCTCTTAATTTTCTCAATGAACGGTTCCCGTTCAGATTTCTGGCCTCTTCCGTATCGAGATTTTATTCCATCTGGTACGAATTTGAAGAAGTGTGATTATACAAAATTAACACACTTGTGGTTTTCAAAATTGTTTTTGACAACGTCAATTTTTGTACGAAAATACATGTTTTCGAGTATTTGATTTTTAATATGATACTGATTGAAAATTATTTTCGTGGTTCCGAGTGTGAAATGTTTAGTAAGCTGTATCAATTTCGATGAACGTTTTCATTTAATAAATAAAAGTGGTAAAAATACAGTCTTTCTCGATTGAATCGATCTTCTGATTAAATAAGAGAGGTTGTCGGAATCAGCTGAATGGATGATTGAAAGTTATTCTTTTAACACCTGTTTAATCTATGATTTCGTTAAAAAATGTATACGTGTCATGATATTTCCTCTTGTTTCTGAAATATGGATATGACTGTTAAAGGAATTCAATCATAGATTTATAAATAACATGCACATATACTAATTGGTGGTTTCTCGCCTCGTCGTTCATTTGCTTTGAGTGAACGCTTGTTTATTCTATTTTCGGTGATCGAGTTGAAAGAAATTGTCTAAACGAGAGAAATAGAAGTAAATGGACAATTTAATTAAAGCAGGAAATTGCGGGATACAATTTTCAAACATAAATGTAAATGTGTAATCATCAAATATTACGCGTGGAGTAAAATTACAGTAGTCTCTCGTTATATTGCCACTGATGAAATTATAGTAGGAAAAGATATTTGAATAGATATGATATATTAGATTTGGTTAGATGTGATATATTAGACTAGTAACAGCGTTTTTTACTCTTTCATAGAGTGGCGATATATCGCGAGGTGATATAACGCGAGGTAATATAATGCGAGGTGATATAGTAAGGGCTGTCATAACGTGATGTGATGTAACGGGAAGTGTTATAACGTGAAGTTATATGATGGGGGCGATATAACGCGATGTAATATAATGGGCGGCGATATACTTCAAGGTGATATAACACGAGACGTTCAACGCATTGAAATACAACGTATAGGTAGTACAATGTATTCCATACAATATGTGCCATATAACACGTGCAAAAAGTACATTCGGCGATATAATACGAGGAAATACAAGACGTGTTAATGCTACATTTATTACTTCATCTTGTGGTCATATAACTCGTACCAACTTAACGCGTAACATTATAACTCATGGTACTACAATTTCTGCAATATAGCGCGTGGCAATATAAAGTGAAATAATGCTATACATATTAATTTAACTCTTGGTTATGTAA